ACAAAATAGGCAATTAAATGCATAAAAATAAACGTAGATGGATATATGTATAAGTATGCCTTAAAAATTTCTTCCTTTTTTTTTTTTTTCTTTTTTATATTATGGACAGAATTTACACCTATTTTCTATAAAAAAGGTAAAAAGAAAAAATATTCAATTAATAAATGATGTTATATTATACGATAAAGTTAATAAGGTGAATATAATATTATCAAAAGATACGCATTTGGCGCAGTATTGCAGAAGAGAAGGCAAATAGTAGATTTCACTGTCTATTTATATATAAATACCCTCAATCCTCCCCCAAATGCGAATTTCAAATCATAAGATCACAACCTTACACAATTACGGTAAATGTCTATTTTTATAATTGTAATTGTCGATTTTTAACATATGATGACGATTGTTTAATCACCATCACATGAACACTAACACACGTACGACGTACGTATGTACATATAGATATAATCCTTTATAGCATTTTCTTTAGTTGATATAAAAGGGAAATAGAATACTGTAATTGTCTAATAATCAACAGATATTATGTCTACAATATCATCATCGCCCTTAAACCGCACAACAAATCAACTAGGAGCTCTTCAAAGTAATAGCTCTTTTCAGAATAATAATTCTGCATACCAAAAACAACAATATATATGTTGTTGGGAAGGATGTGATCAGCGATTTAATAATGCAAAAGATCTTATAATACATCTGAAGGAAATACACATAAAAATTTTGAATATTGTATCTCCATTATTATTTCATTGCAAATGGGGTGATTGTAAGAGCGAAGAATCCACATCAACGGAAAATTTGCTTAATCATGTAATGGAAAAACATTGCAACTTATCTACTCAGCAATCACAAGCACAATCACAAACACAATCACAAACACAATCACAAACACAATCACAACAATCGAACACGGAACAAACGTCGACAACCAGCCGACAAATTTCAACGGTAGAAACTTTATAAAAAAAAAAATGCAGTTTATAAACTTTGATTTATTTATCTCACTTATTAGTTATCCTGAATTTCCGATATTGGTTGAATAGGAATCACAAATGAACCAAGGGGTAGCAGTACAGAATATTTCCGAATCAGTTCAACAACAACCAGATTCGCAATTAGAATTGCAATTAAACCAACAAAATCAACGAATTGAGGAAAGCAAGAGAGTAGCTTGTGCACAAACCCAAAGACTTCAATTGGACACAGTACCACCTGACAGCTCGCGGCAAGTCGATACCGTTGTGCCAGTTCGTACTTAATTTATTTACTTATTTTATTTTATCTATTTATTTCTTTTTTTTTTCTAAAAAAAAAAAAAAACAAAAAAAAAAACTAATTTGTGATGGTTCTTATGACATCCGTTTCTATGTAGAAAGAAATCGTAATTATAGATGACGACGAAACCACCGTTGATAAGCCCATTCAAGTGGCTAATTCGGTAATTTCCGATTATAGTACGTTAATTCAATATTCCCGAAATAACGAGTTCGTTCGTATCGAAATAGGTTGCTGCTACACAACAAGTCACAAATAACAGGATGCCTGTAATGCGAGAGTTTGACACAAGACCAAGGCAAATGTCGCAGACGCTACATTATTCACATCTTCCTGAGACCCAAGGGCATTCAGTTCCGTCTTTTAATGCAACCTCAAATCAGGTTCAGCGACAATTTCAGGTCCCGAGCCATATGGCCCAAGTCCCGAGTCATATGGCACATGTTCCTAGTCAAATGACCCAAGTCCCGAGTCAAACTGCTCAGTTCCCGAGTCGGGTGGTACAAGTTCCTAGTCAGAGGGTTCAAGTTCCTAATCAGAGGGTTCAAGTTCCTAATCAGAGGGTTCAAATTCCGGTTCAAATGGGAGCAAATACTTCACAACATAACAGCAATCTTAGATATCACTCAGCACAACAGGGTAACAACATAATCCGAACTTCACAACAGAATTACCGCACATCAGGTTTACCATTGATGCAGGTTCGTCTATATATGTATATTTTCACTTTAATATTCAATAAAGGAATCAAGCATTTTTATTTTAGACATATCAAGATGGGAATGTTATTAGGATTATACAAGGAAATGAAATCTTGCGACAAGAAAATGACATCTTGCGACAAGAAAATGAAAACCTAAAGCGTGAGTTGAGAAATATGATGGCAATACAAGAACCCCAGTCAAAGCTTAAGAAAGAAAATGAACAATTAATAATAGAGTTACAAAATCTGAAAGCGAAAATTGCAGCACAGGAAGCACAGCCAAGACAGAGTGATCGTGAAAAATTTTTGATGGTTGAATTGCGAAAATTGCAAACACAGCTTATGCTTAAGGAATCACAATTAAAAATGACAGAAGGGGAGCTTGTCTATCATAAGAGAGTTACGAATCTTATAACAGAGCAAATTCGTCGGTCAGATACTAAAATGAGAGAATATTGGGTGGAGATGCTACGTGAAAAAGGTCGTACAAAACATAATAGTGAAAAAATGACGGTCGAAAAAGCTTCTTTAAAAAGAACTAGAGAAGAAAATGATATGCAAGATTCGATAACAGGTGCAGTTCAGAAAAGAAGCAAAGAAAATGAAGAGAGCAGCGAAGAAGGAACTTCAGAAAAATCAAAAGATACCAGAGGGATAGATGATGATAATACTAATCAAGAAAAAATGGATGCAGAGAATATGGATGTAGAACCGTTAGAGAAGCCCGATTCAGAAGAGTATGATATAAATATTATCACGGAAGCTTACGTTTGTCAATGGAATGGATGCAAAAAAGTATTTAGAACAAAATTAGCACTCAAAGCACACATTCCATCTGAACATATAGCAGCCGAATGTTTACGTGTTCATGTGGACAAACCATCAGTTTTGTAAAATCTTGCGTTATGTTTGTTTGCTTTTGTAAATTTAATCTAACTTGCAAACATATTAAGATTTATACTGTATAGCAATTTAATAGACTAAGAGTACAATAAAATAATAATAATAACAAAATAGGCAATTAAATGCATAAAAATAAACGTAGATGGATATATGTATAAGTATTCCTTAATAAAGTAGACTTTTATTAATTAATAAAGCCTCCGCGCACAAAGACCATTTTTATACAGGTCAAATTTATAAATTCGTAAATCACACGTACATTAGTTTCTATGTAAAACCATACATTAAACATTTTTATTAATAAAATGATTTCTGTACACAGAATTTCGCATAAAAATCTAAAATTTAATATTATTTTGAATTATTTGAATGTTCTGACCAGGGCTTAAACGACTATATTAATTTGCCGGACATTTACTGCGCCACTGCTATTGTTTAAAGTGGTTTTTTTGATTTATCAAAATTAGTGTATTGTACATCTTATGTTTACTATACCAGCCAATTAATTTCTAATATACTATAGATCAAGAATGGCACTTTTGAATGTCCGGTATTTCAATATAGTCGTTTAAGCCTTGGTTCTGACCTGTTTTTTTTTTTTACCAAAATTTCAGATACTATACGAATTAGGGTGTCAAGGATTATGCAATTGCAGAAATTCTGCAAATTCTGCGGTGCATTTACGAATTCACATTTGCAAAATTTGAGGCGTAGCTTTATTGTTGACCCGAAATAATACTTGACAATTGTCTAAAGTCAAATCAAATTTCCTACAAAGAGTTAGCTGCAAAAATCTGTACAATTATGTGCGGAAAATAACATAAAAATTGGACACCCTAATGCGAATTAATAACAAACTCTGAAATAATGATAAATCTGCACATAGATGTAAATGTATTAGAGTTTTGGAATCGGATTTTATTTAATTAATGATATTTTGCTTTGAATTTAAATTCGAATTAAGTCGAAATTCGAATTTTTCAAAATTATTTTATTGGTCAAATTTCAAAAATAACGGTAGTCGCGACTGAAGTTTCGATAAACTGACCTAGCGTTACCAACCTAAAAAATTTCGCTAAAAAAATTTCGCTGTTAGACTAGGATTTTGGTTTTGCTATTAAGCTAGGCTAGAAAGAGCTTTAATAGTACCAAAATTTCGCAAGGAAAACTTTTTGTTAGTGCGCAGAAGGTGATTTCATAGATAAAATGTTGAGTTATGAGCGGTTTCTGGTTTGTTTTGATTTTTCGCGTTTCTTCTGAGTCACACCTGATCTTGAAATCTGATTGTCCAGTAAAATTTTTAGGTTGGTAACGCTAGGACAGTTCATTAGTTAGCAGGTGTAACTTCAGTCAATTGAAGTACATACGTACATGCATACGCTCAGCGACAAGCATTCGATCCCTTAAGAACGAAAACTATTTTATCGTTATAGAAATTCTATAGGTGGCCAAGTACTTTTGTTCTTTGTGCGATTGTGCAGAAAATGTGAATATTGCAATTCGGTAGATTCGGTTTTATATTTAAATCGAATCCGAAGGAAATTAGATTTAAATTCGAAGGTCGAATCCGGTTCCAAACTCCATGCAAAAGTAAACATATTGATATTCATGTACATTAATAGCTGCCAAATGCTCTTTTGAATTTACATTTTAGAACGAGGTTCTAATCAGTATATTCAGGGAGCTTGAAATATCTTGCAAAGGTGCAAGGTAGCATTTGTGATATATTAGTGCTACCAAGGGGAACCTGTTAGCGAGGTTTCAAGTTTATTGCTTGCTGATCCGATTTTTAGCACTTTTACTTAATCGGTACCTAAGTTAAATAATTTAGTCTACGAAAATATTCTTCCCGGAGTGGCTAACCAAAAAATCTCGGGACGCGTTATGTTATGGTTAGCAATTATCGGATTAAATGTAAGCCCCTGTGGAGTAAAATTGCTTAAGAACTTTTGTTAGAACACAAAGGGTGGTTTCTTATTCGAATTTTAAATAAGTGATAAAAAAATAAAATAAAATAAACGTTTATCCTGGATTTTTTTACATTACACCGAATTATGATCATAGAAACCTTAAGTCAGAAGTCATAGGATCCCTTTGATGCATAGTGTCCTGGCCATGGCGAAATTAGTGACGGTCATTGTTAGATTCTATTCGAATTGATATGTTCTTATCAACCCTTAACAATATTGTCGTTATATTTTTTCAACCTCGAACAATGATATCTCAGTAACTACCTATATGAAATCGATGAAATATAAATCCATAAAATTAAAAAATTTTGCGATTTTAGGTAGGTAATCGAGCCGTACCCTTTGATAACCGTCTAAATTTTTGAACTTTAAACGAAAATATCTCGATAACTACCTATCTAAAATTAAATTCTATGGATTTAGAGGATTAAAATAGAAAAATTCTACGTAAACCCTAGCATCACCACCCTAAAAATAATTTCGCCACCAGCGTTAGGGTTAGGTTTTGTTTGATTTTATTTACACCTGGTCTTAGATTTTAATTCGGCCCGATAGCGAACTTTTTTAAGGTGGTGACGCTGGTTTTACTTATTTTCGCGAGTAATACAAACCAAACGATTTTGTAAATAAACTAAGTACGTGAAATGAAAATTTAGGGTTAAGGCCTTAACGTTAGAGCTATAAAAATATTAACATTCATTATATGTAAAATTTCATTCCCGACATTTTTAATTAGTGCACCAAGGTCGATTTAAACACTAGTTTTTGTGTATTTTCGCTTTTTTCTTCCTTCGCACGTGTTCAGATTCGGCGGCCCCCCAAAGTACTGTCACATGATCAATCTTCGCCAATCAGGAAATGATAATATACGATTG